AAATCCTTCCTACCCATCAATTCGGATTTCGTTTCCAGCATTCCACCGTTCAACAAGGACTCCGAATTGTTGACCATATATCCTCAGCCTTAGAAAGCAAACAGTATTGCTTCGGTGCATTCCTGGACATCAAGCAAGCTTTCGACCGCGTAAGGCACACCAGACTACTCTTCAAGTTCAAAACCCATCTACCCCAGTCCTTATATCAAATACTACGATCCTACCTCTCTGACCGCTCCTTTCGAGTTCAGTGTGGTACAGAATTCTCCAACTGCCATTCAATTGAGGCGGGAGTTCCTCAAGGCAGCGTCTTGGGTCCCGTCCTCTACATTCTGGTTACCGCTGATATTCCTACTCATCCTGAAACCCTCCTGACAACATTTGCTGATGACACAGCCATCCTATCTTCCAATCCGGATCCTAAAACAGCATCCTTAAACCTACAAAGTCAACTTTCTCTTATTGAACACAGGTGTAATAAGTGACGCATCCAAGTAAATGAATCCAAATCCAAACACATCAGTTTTACCCTTCGGCGCAAGTCCTGTCCACCAGTCGATTTCAAATCCATACCACTTCCTCTCTGACACAGTCCGCTATCTTGGTTTCTTCTAGATAAAATACTAACGTGGAACCCACATACCAGACTTAAAAGACAACAACTTAACAGACGATACGGACAGCTATATAGACTAATGAATAGAAAATCTCAACTTTTAGTCGACAACAAACTACTAAGACAATCCTGAAACCTATCTGGACCTACTGGACCTACGGACTAGAGCTGTGGGGGACAACAAAACCTTCTAACATTAAGCGCATTCAATCCTTTCAGTCTAAAGTCCTCCGAACAATAGTCGCTGCTCCCTTCTATGTAACCAATAAAACCCTCCATAATGACCTTCATATCCTATTTGTTATTGACCTGATCCCAGATAAATTTTCCAAATTTCACCAGAACCTCACTCATCATCCAAATTCTGTAGCACAATCCCTATCTAGCTCCAGCTATCCCTACAATCCTCCCCGGAGGTTAAAGCAACAGTGGCCCCATGATCTTTTGTAAATATGTATATATTGGAGTACTGGCAATGACCAGACTCTCCACTCAAGTCCTGAGCATCAGTTGCTCAAGTGCCCTCCATCAGTCTCCACTGGCTTGCAATACCAGTGACGCGGATGGCAGAGAAGCACTGAGATCTCCTGGGGTCCTGCCTTGGCTTCCACATTTGGGAGACAAAGCATGACTCAGAATCCACAAATGTAAATATTGTATATAGGTGTGAATGTGTTTCATATATTTCAATTTCATTTAGTTTCTCTCAGAATTTTTTTTTTTTTTTTTTTGTGAGAGCAGCGGCTCATAACCCGCACTCCCGAGACAAAACAAACAATGAAAAGTATAGAAAGAAATAGAGCCGATCAGATTTTATGGCAAAGACACGTCGTGGAAAACGGATCAGACGATTGGGCACATTAAACGTTAAAAGCTTAAATGGAAAAGAAGTAGAATTGGTCGAAGAGAAGAAACGAGCGTGGATAGCCATCCTAGGGATAACAGAGACTAAGAAGAAAGGCAAAGGAGAACAGAGGATAGAAGACCACATATTATTATATGCCGGAGTCAATTTGGGGGAACATGGAAAGAGCGGTGTGGCATGCTTATTTCACCAAAACATGGCTCACTGTGTAAAGGACTGGAAGGCTGTTAGTGACAGACTCTTGGGAGTGGAAGTATGTAGCCGAGGGGTATCATACTCTGTACTCATAGCATTCGGACCAAATGACAATGCCACTAGTCTTGAAAAGGAAGCATTTTTCGACTGTCCAACATGAGATCGATATATGCAAAGGCATACCATTAATTATGGGAGACCTGAATGGGAGAGTAGGGAAGGAATCGACGCAAATGGGGTGGCGCATTGGGAACGGATGGTGAGGAAAGTTGTAACGACAACGGCAAAAGAATTCTTAACTTTTGTCTTCCAAATGATATGCTGGTTGGAAACAGCTTCTTCCCACACAAAAAAAATCATAAATATACAAGAGAGGAGCCAAGTCAAAATGAAAGGTCTATTATCGACTATTACCCAATACAACGAGAACAAAGAAAACACGTAGTAGACATAAGAGTCAAAAGAGGCTACCAGACAGGTAGCGATCATCGGCTACTTATAATGGATATAGTACTTAATAACCACGCAACCACACCAGGACCGTCAAACTGAACAAATAAGTTCAAAATAAAATATTTTAAACTCAGGGAGCCAAAGGTGATACAGGCATATCAGGACTTGATTGAAGAAAAGGTGAATAGTGGAGGATACAATTGGGACAGTGACAACGTAGAAGAATCTTGGTCGGCAATGAAGATAATAATACTGGAGGCAGCGGAAATGACATGTGGAAAAAGCAAGCTGGGACATAAATCAAAGAAAACTGCTTAGTGGAATGAGGAAATTAAAGAGAAAATCAAACAAAAGAAAACCCTACGGAAGAGATACCAGCAAACCAAGTCAGATGTGGCATACTCCGCATACAAGGAGCAAAGACAGAAAGTGAAAGAGGCCGTGATGAGAGGAAAGAAAAAGTCCTGGGAAGAGTTTGGAAAAAAGTTGGAAAGTAATTATAAGGAAAACCAGAAACTTTTCTACTGAAGCCTCAGGAGCATGAGAAAGCAGAAGGAACAAGTGCTGAAGCACATCAAGGACAAAAATGGAGACATCCTGAGTAGGCCAGAAAACATTATGAATAGATAGCCGGAATATTTTAAGGAATTACTTGCATATCAAGGGCAGGAAATGGAAGCGAAACAACAGTCTGGTAGCACAGAAGACACCTGGGAAGAAGATGACTTCATTGGAGAAGAAGAAGTTGCCGAGGCTATAAGGACATTAAAGCTGAGAAAAGCAGCTGGTATAGACGGCATTGCGCCAGAAATGTTGAAATATATGGGTTTAAAAGGAATCGAACTGTTCCAACACCTCCTTAACGTCATTTGGAAAAATAAAGTTATATCAAAGGACTGGGAAGTCTCCATCATAATCCCAATTTTTAAAAAAGGAGATAATTGTGAATGTCGGTACCATCGAGGAATATCCCTACTCTGCATCCCCTACAAAGTTTATTCCAAGGTGCTCGAAAAGCGGCTGAGAAGCTTCATAGAACAATCGATAGGGGAAGAACAATATGGCTTCCAGCCTAACAGGACCTGATATTCACGATGAGACAAATATCCGAGAAGATTATGGAGAAGAGCAGAGAGGTCTTCACTTGTTTTGTAGACCTGAATAAAGCGTTTGACAGGGTGCAGAAGGCAGATATATCAAGAGCATTGGAGGAGTGTGGCATTCATATAGGATTGAGAAAAGCCATCCTAAGTCTATATGAAACACAGAAAGATGTGCAACCATACATCAAAAGAATTCTCAACAGATCAAGGAACCAAACAGGGATGCAGCCTTAGCCCCCTCTTGTTTATACTAGTGCTGGATTCTGCCCTAAAACAAGCAAAACAGAAAATGAGGCCACACAACCTCGGATATAGGTACTGTATACTGGATATAGCTTTTGCTGACGATATGGTGGTGTTCAGAAATGACTGCCGTAATCAGCAGTTTAACCTCAAGATCCTTCAACCTGAGATGAGGAATATAAACATGGAAATCTCCAAAACAAAATTTATGAGGATTGGGAGAAGTGATCGAAGAGACCGGATCCTTCGGCTGGATGGAATCCGCCTGGAGCAAGTAATGGATTTTAAAAACCTGGGTGGTCACCTCAACGAGTACGGTTGGGTTGATTGACATAAAAGAAAGAATTAAGACGGCAGGAAAATGCTTCTACTCCCTCAAGTCAGGCTTCTTGGACCAAAAAGGAAGTCTCAAAGGCCACTAAGAAGATTGTCTTCAAGAATACCTTTCTCCCTATATTAATATATACAAGCTATGGAAATGCGATATTTAAGGAAAATAGAGGGGAAAACAAGAAGAGATCGCATTAGAAATGTGACCATAAGAGTTAATCTGGACCTTAGGCCTGCAGAGGAAATAATCCAAGAAAACCAACTTAGATGGTTTGGACATGTCTCACAAATGGCTGAAAACAGAGTTGCCAGGGCTACCTATGAGGTCAAAGTGGAGGGAAGGCGGCCACAGGGAAGACTAAGAAAAAGATGGGAAGAAGGAATTAAAGAAGCCTTTGACAGGAGAGGAATGGACTGGAGTAGGAGAAGGCAGCTGACCCAGGATAGAGATTCTTGGATCAAGCTCTATAAGAAGGAACCTCACACTGCTCAGCGGTAACAAAGAGGACTGGATTAAGTAAGTTTTATTACCTATGTATGTTAATTTTCTTATTTTACTTTCTACAACTCTTTTTCTTTTATCTCTATTTTAGTTATCATTTGTATGTATATATTATGTGAATGTTTAATGTAGCTCTAATATTAATGCCCTCCAATGCGGCAGAATGTATTAATTTTCAAATAAAAAAAAAAGAAAAGTATTGGCTAAAATTTATAAATAGGTCTAATCCTAGATGAATGATTGATACTTTCATTCATTAATTACGAGACTTTTTCAGTTTTATCACTCTTGTATTGGTCAAAATTTGTGTATAGGCCGATATTTACATGGCATATTTACATATTTACTCTTTTATTTAGCAATAAGTAGGATATTCCATGAGAAACTGTACAAACAGTTTGAAATAACAGTATCGGCCAAAATTTCGATATTGTTCGATTTCTACACTTAGCATTAATATATTTTTTAATAAATTTACAATTTAAATAGATTTTTTTAAGCATGCAACAGAAATACTAAGAAAAGCTTTATGACTTATAACATTAAAATAATTTCAATGTATTTTCATAATCAATTTTTATATTTGTTGTTCCATCAGAAACTCAATAATGTAAATACAGAATTTCAGTTAATGTTAAAGCCATTCAAATAAATTACAATAGCAATGTAAAAAACGATAAATTTTTTACATACCATGTCTTGTAGTTAAGGTTGTTCTTTGGGGTTTTGGAGATTCAGATATTCCATTTACTCGCTCTCTAGAATTATTATTAGTCAAACTTGTAGGAGTAACAGTTTGAGATGCTGGAGGGTGATGCTGAGGAAATGAAGAATTAGAAGATGATTTGATTGAATTGTTATTGCCGACTTGAACAGGAGGCACAGAAGATGTCCTAACATTTGTTTTTGATTGAACAGTTTTCCTTTTTGGGGGGCAGACATACTTATTTCCTTCACTATTAGGACTGCTGTCTGAGGAAGATGGGCGAACTACTGCTGCATATTTATCTTCCTCCTCTCCATTTTCCATGTCTATACGTACCTTGTAATTAGGATTACTTTCAATTTCATTAGCTATTTTAGCAGCTTTTGCTTCAGCATCCCTATAAGTTAAAATTATTACTTAGTTAAACCAATAAAATGAAAACATAAAAACTAGCAAATGGTTATCTAGATTAAAATGTATTGTTATGTATAAAACTTATTTCACAACTTTTATTTTTAAATTATAACCTAAATGAGTGATATTTTAAAAGCAAAAAAATATATATATATATATATCTTCATTATGACTTGATAAAATGAAGTCATTAAATTCTTTATTTATATACATTAGGTGAATAACTAATAAAACAACTATTAAATCCTTGAAAAGGCAGAAACTTACTTGTAATCTTTGGAATCTTTGTTCTGGAGAGGTGTTGTATAATCAGAAAGCCCATGATCAAAATTTGAGGTTACACCATACATCTGTTCATTTTGCCGAAACATTTCATTTACATCCCAACCATTCTAAAATAAAAATAAATAAATTTATATGTATTTATGAATGCGTGTGTATCAGAGATGAGCATATTTATATTAAAAAATATAAATATGAATACCATTTATATTTATGGTACTAATGAATATATATATGAATATATTTATATTCATAAAAAGAAATATGAATACAGATGATACGTATTCACGGCTGTAAATATAAATACGACCGTATTCACGATTGTGAAAGTGAATACGGCTGTATTTACACTAGTAAAAGTGAAGTATTCACGTTTACTAAAATAAATACGCTTAAATTTACAGAAGTGAATGAAAATATTTTCACACAACCTTATTAGTGAATACTCTTATTTATTAAATTATATTTTAAAAAAATATATTCACAACATATATATATATATATATCATTTTATTTTTATATATAGTATTATATTCTTTCTTACACAATATGTTATGTTAATATGTTACAATGTTTTATGTTAAGTTAATTATCACTCGTGTTTGTATGTAATATCGATTCTTGAGCCTTTGTATTTACACTTGTAAACGTGAATACGGCAATATTCACATTTATTAAAATGAAGTGAATGCAAATATTTACACACAACAGTATTAATGAATACTCTTATTTATTTAAAAATATATATATATTTATTAAATCCATGTGAGCTTATTTATTTTAGGTGAAGTATTAATATTAAAATAAAGAAGACTTAAATATTTAAAATAATATTTAAAGAAGACTTTAACACCATTACAGAATGATATAGCTTGAAAATGGCTTACTAGCCGAAACTAGCTGATGTAGATGTAAAAGTGGATTAAATGTGATGAAGTAAAAACACAGCCTTCTTTTATATTATATGTAGTTATTAAATTATTTATTTTTAAAAAATTACTAAATATCCCATTTTATTTTTATGTATAGTATTATCTTCTTCGGGGATCGCCACTCTCCCTTTCCCCAATAAAAATTCAGAGGAGGTGAGAACATTGGAATTTCTTAATGAGCTGGTAGTGTCTTGAAAAAACTTGAAAATCAAAATCCAGCTCATCCAGACTACAAGAGCCTGCGAAACAAACAGACTCAGTTTTGCTACCAACTCATTAACAAATATAACACATATAATCACACATTACACTTTATTAATTTACTGAACGTCAGGTCCAGAAAGGTCACTATCCAATTTGACAGCCCTTGCCTCCTTGCTTCAACCTAAGGCTGTCGTGTACACATATTTCCCCTAGGAATTTCCAGAGTATCGTCCTGTTGTGGTGTTGTCGTGACTGTTGTAGCTACCCTGACCGTCCATTAAATTTATCTTTATTGCCATTAGCAACGCATAAGTAAACAATGCACCGAAAAGTCGGTATGTCAAGGATCATAGACTCAGACTTTCTATTCTGGTACGGAATAGGGTGGGGCTGGATGGATCCATAAAAATAAAATAAAAAAAGGCTTGGGAATTCATATTATGCACAAACGTTATGAGTGATAATTAACTTAACATAACATATTGTAAAACGAAGAATATAATACTATATATAAAAAATAAAATGGTATAAATGGTAAATATATATTTTTTTAATAAATATATATTTTTTTTAATAAATATATATTTTTTGAATAAATAAGAGTATTCATTAATAAGGTTGTGTGAAAATATTTGCATTCATTTCTGTAAATTTAAGCGTATTCATTTTAATGAACGTGTATTCAATTTTACAGGTGTAAATACAAAGACTCGGGAATTTATATTACGTACAAACTCAACGCGTGATAATTAACAAAACATAATACATTGTAACATAATTAACATAACATATTGTAAAAGCAAGAATATAATACTATGTATATATATATATATATATATATATATATATATATATATATATATATATATATATATATTAATGAAATGATATATACAGTAAACAATTTTTTTTTAATAAATATACTTTTTTTTAATAAATAAGTATTCACTAATAAGTTTGAGTGAAAATATTTCCATTCGCTTCTGTAAATTTAAGGGTATTCATTTTAGTAAACGTGAATACTACTGTATTCACTTTTACTAGTGTAAATACAGCCGTATTCACTTTCACAATCGTGAATACGGTCGTATTTATATTTAGAAATAGAAATAGAAAAATAACTTTATTCTGGGACACGTACAGTTACGGGATACGAACATTTACAGCCATGAATACGTATCATATGTATTCATATTTCTTTTTATGAATATAAATATATTCATATATACACTGACAGGCAAAAAATTCCACCCACTTGATTTTTCCATGTTTTCATCTAAAAATATTTCTGTTAAGTTGTATTTGTATATAATACATGGTATTTGTAGATAATATTTAGTATTTATGGAATTTTAAATCTTTTTTACCTTTAATAATCAAAATGTGATTGGGTAAGAAAGATTAAGAAAAAAAAATTGAAAAACGAACCATTATTATTCTAAAAGAAATTAATTACATCATCGTTTAGTAGCGCGTGTTTCCTCCTCTTGCCTTCACTACTTCTTGAAGACGCCTCGGCATACTTTCCACCAGTCGGGAAATGTCCCTTTGCTGGAGGATAGCCCATTCCTCCAGAAGAGCCCTTTCAAGGTCCTGCAGTGTATCAGGAAGTGTTGCACGCGCTCTTATTCGTCTTCCGAGGTTATCCCATAAATGCTCAATGGGGTTCAAATCTGGAGAACGTGCTGGCCAGGCTAAAACCTCAATATTGTTCTGTTGAAGGAACGTCTGCACTATGCGGGCGACATGTGGGCGTGCATTAGAATAGAACGATCGCCGATTTCGTTGAGGATAGGCAACACATGAGGTTCCAAAATCTCATCTACATAGCGAATGGCCGTCAAAGACCCTCCACGAACAACAACCAATTCTGTGCGGCGCTCCATTGAAATCCCAGCCCACACCATTAAGGAACCACGTTGGAAAGGTTGGCTCTGGGAAAAATTGCAGGCTGCATATCTTTCGTTTCTTCTTCTCCACACCCTTTCACGCCCGTCTGGAGATCGAAGAGCGAATCTTGACTCATCTGTAAAAAGTACAGCACTCCATTCGTCCATAGTCCAATGGCTGTGTTCTCGAGCAAAAGCCAGCCGTGTTACTCTGTGAGTTCTGGTCAACTCTGGTCCTCTTACTGGACGAAAAGCCATTAATCCATACTCATTTAATCTTCTCCGAGCGGTACGTTCAGAAATTTGCACACCTCGAACTTCTTCGAGCTGATGAATCGCTTGAACAACGGTAAGGTGCCGGTTTCGTAAAATTCTCAAGTCAAAACCGGTCATCCCGTGGTTCTGTTACCCTAGGCCATCCAGAACCGGGCCTTCTATTGTAAGAAACAGTTTCCCGAAAACGCCTGACGGCGTCTCGGAAAGTTTCAAATGGAACTCCGATGGCATTAGCTGCATATCTAATGGAACGCCCATCATCAATAAGTGCCACACCACGCGCAACATCCTCAGCACTAAGAGGCATTTTTAAACTTAATATTGAAAAAATTAAAAGCCGGAGACTAAGAAATGTGCTGCAAGAAACGGCACTGAACTAGTGATACTGAATAAACATTTTGGTTCCATAGAAAGTAAACATCGGAATCTAGAATCATTTCATTGAATTAAAGATTAAGAGTTATTGTCCTCTATATTAACATTCCTAATTGAAAACCAACAAAACCTATTTATTCATTAAAAACAATAGACCAATCCAAAGCAGAAATATTTTTAGATGAAAACATGAAAAAATCAAGTGGGTGGAATTTTTTGCCTGTCAGTGTATATTCATTAGTACCATAAATATAAATGGTATTCATTTTTTTTTATATTTTTTAATATAAATATGCCCATCTCTGGTGTGTGAATATATATATATATATATATATATATATATATATATATATATGAAGAATGGAAAGAATCTATTCTTATTCCGATTCACAAAAAGGGTCCGAGGACGGATTGTAATAACTATCGAGGAATTTCACTCCTTCCGGTATGTTATAAAATATTCACTTTAATCTTAACTAGTCGAATCACGGAATACGCCGAGGAAATTATCGGAGACTACCAATGCGGATTTAGACGGAATCGTTCGACAATTGATCAAATATTTTCTTTACGGCAAATATTAGAGAAAAAATTGGAGTACAACGGTATTGTTCACCAGCTGTATATAGATTTTAAAAAGGCTTACGATTCTATTGACCGCCAGAAACTGTATAATATTCTAATCGAGCAGGGGATTCCAAAAAAACTAGTAAATCTAGTCAGGATGTGCTTGACGGAGACACTCAATAAAGTTAGAATCGGTAATAATTTGTCCGAAAAATTTGAGGTTCGTTCGGGCTTAAAACAGGGGGATTCTCTTTCGCCTGTCCTGTTCAATTTGGCATTAGAACATGCCATTAGGGAGGTAATGCGAACCGAGAAAGGGTTGGATCTGGGCGGGACAACATCCGTGCTGGGCTATGCTGATGATCTGGTACTGTTAAGCGAAGACGTTGAAACTATAAAACTAAATACGACAACGTTAATGAAAGCCGGTAAAGAACTAGGACTCGAAATAAACGTGGATAAAACAAAATATATGGTTAGCTGCAAAAATGGCGATACTACTGGTGATATCGATATAGATGGTAATATGTTTGAACAGGTAGATAAATTTAGGTATCTAGGTTCTACGATAACTAGAAAAAACGAAATTGAAGAAGAGATTAAGGTTAGACTGAAGGCGGGGAACGCTTGTTATTTTTCTGTGACAAAACTACTTAGTTCGCGCCTCTTGTCCCGAAACTTAAAAATTCGAATCTATAAAACAATTATCTTGCCTACAGTTCTTTATGGATGCGAAACTTGGCCGCTTACATTAAGGGATGAGCAGCGTCTTAAGGTTTTTGAAAATAAAGTATTGCGTAGAATATTCGGACCGAAGAAGGATGAGTTAACCGGAGAGTTCAGACGGTTACACAACGCCGAATTGCGTGAGCTGTATTCGGGTAATATAATTGAGGTAATTTCATCGCGGCGAATCAAATGGGCTTGTAAAGTTGTTGGGCTTAGTAACGAGAGAATTCCTAAAAGTTTAATATTTGCTGTGCCGAATGGTAAGCGTCCGAGGGGTAGACCGAAGCGAAGGTGGGAAGATTGCATTAAAGCCGATCTGAAGGGACTGGGTTTGGACGGCGAACGGTGGAGGGAGGTGTGTAACAAGCGATTGGTGGTGTCGGCATCGAACCTTCGGGTTCGCTAAGCCTTATTATTATTATTATATATATATATATATATATATATATATATTCAAACTTCACTACTTTATTGGGAATAAGGTCACCTATTCCCCATCAGCAGGTCACCAAGAAAATACCGGGATCGAAACGTCAATAAACAGAAGAAATGAATATTAATTAGTTTATTAAATAATAATTAAGTGACCTTATTCCCAATAAAATAGTGAAGTTTGAATTTAATACTCAAAGGTCGATGAAGGAAAAGTTGTAAATATATATATATATATATATATATAAGAATAAATGAAAATGGACAAAAATGTATTTCCTAATCAACTTCATTGGATGAACTGACCAAAACATCCATTCCTCAATACTATCTTTTCCAACCTAGTTTAGAGCAGTGAGATAACCAAGCAAGATTAATCAAAACTTGCCTACCATACATACTACATCCCATACATACTACTACTTGCCCTACAACATACTACACTGTTTTCTAAAAGATTAAATTTCCCCTTCATTCTAAAAGAAAGTTCATACAAAATGAACTTCAGGAAAGTAACAATCTCTCAATAAGTCTCCTAATCTAATTTATATAGCTCATCAGACTTTTATCCGATAAAACCTTTCATAATACCTTATTTAGACGAACTACTCAGTTACCTTGAGCAGGAAAATCTCCTAAAAACCTTTTTAATCTAGATTTCAAATAGATTTTGCTATACAATCGGCACTCTGTGATAATCATCCATGGAAGACTAGCAATCTAATTTTATTACTATGTATTATACCTATCACAGGCACACAGAATTTGATCTACCACAGCGACTCATACAAAGAGGGCTAAACATCAAATCCATGTGCTTGAGCCGTAAGTGTTTTAACAATTTACTATCCATATCTTTCAGAACTTCTCCAAACCTTTTTGACATAATTAACACATTAAAGGTGGGAGTCGTAGTAATACAATTTATCTCCACTGTAGCTTAAAGGCGGGAGCCATATTAGTACGATTTGCAACCACATTGCGCAATTCATGCGCTACTTTACATTATTATTTAGTATGTTTTGTGGTTTGAAAAGCTGTTCAGTTGTTCAAATTCTACTTACAGTAAACTTTGAAATCCTTCAATATGGTTTAATATAAGAATAAAGCTATATATGCAGACGATTGGTCTGACGTTAATTGCGATGAAAGAGAGTTAGATAATGATAATGATAATGATAGTGATAATGACAGTGACAGTGATAATGATAATGATAGTGATAGTTCTTTACGACCTATGAGAAGGACCCGAGTTTTTCCACTACCGATTAGCGATGATGAAAGTGAAAATGATGATGAAGAAGAAATTATACATCAATGGACTGAAGTCGACATTCCACCTAACATAGAACCGTTTTTGGATCAAAAGGGGTTAAATATTTTACCACAGAATAGCGTTGAAGGATCTCTTGATATGTTCCTTGATGGTAATTTTTACGAAATGATGGTAACAGAAACCAAACGATATCACCATCAAAACGTTGAAAAATATGTTAAAAAGAAGAAAACTATAAAATGGATGGATCGCACAATTGCAAATTCTAGAAATTTTTAGGATTATTAATTCTCATCATTATCATCATAATCTATCCTCTTGAACCGCATTAAGAAGTGTGAGGAGGAAGTTTATAGAGCCTTCTCCAGCTCTGCCGGTCTTCAACAAGATGCCTTCTATCGTTCCATTGAAGACCTCTTCTCTGGAAATCGCTCTTTACTTCATCTTCCCATTTCCTTCTAGGCAGTCCTCTTCCTCTCTTGCCGCCTACTTTAGATCGATAGGTTTCGCTAGCTATTCTGTTAGGTTCCATCCGCAGAAGATGTTCTAGCCATTTCAGTCGATTCTCCTTAATCACATCATTGGCCGGCTTAATATTGAGGTTCGACCTGATGGTGGTGTTGCGTACTCTCATCTCTTCTCGTTTTTCCCTCGATCTTTCGGAGGAATCGCATTTCTGACGTTTGTATCCTTGATCAATGTTTCTTTGTCAGCGTCCATGATTCTGAAGAGTATGTTAAAATGGGAACAAAATATCGATCTGAAAACAGCTACTTTTGTTTTCTTTTCCACCTCGCGCCTGTTCAGAAAACCTCTCTTAACTGCCTCAAACATCCTGCGATTCGCTCAGTCACTTCTGAATCTATGTATCCATTTTCATTAAGGAGTGCGCCAAAGTATTTGAAGTTTTCTACCTGCTCGAGGATTCTGTGTTCGACTCTGATGACGCGCATATTTCTCCTAGGTTTCTTCCCAACCCTCATTATTTTTGTTTTTACAGGTTTAATAATCATATTAATCTTCCGCAATTCTTCTTTTAATTTATTAATATTGTACTGAATATTCCTGCCATTGTCCGAAAAAATAACAATGTCATCAGCGAATGCAAGTATTGAGAGGCTCACCGATCTCAGGTTGGCATATCCCAGGTAAAATTTCCGCATTTTTCCTTTAGCCCTTCGTATTGCTGAGTCCATCACTAGTATAAACAAAAGTGGACTAAGACTATAACCTTGCCGGATTCCAATTGTTGTCTTGATTTCCTGTGAAGTGCAGTTGGTAAATCTTACTATATTTCTTGTAGAGACTCTCACCCGCCAGAACATGACCTTGATCAATCCCTTTTTCTCCCAAGACCTCCAAGGTATCAGACTTTCTCACCCAATCGAAGGCCTTTGTAAGATCAACAAAGCACACCGACATTTCCTTTTCTTTCTACAATACTTTTTCAAAAACTTGTCGTATGGTAAAGATAAGATCCTGGGTGCTACGATTATCTCGAAATCCGTATTGTTCTTCTTCAAGTAATCCTTCGATTCTTATTATTATTCTTTTTTCCAAGATTTTGAGTAAATTTTACTTGGTACACTCAACAGAGATATGCCTCGGTGGTTGTTACAATCTCTGTTATCTCCTTTCTTAAAGATAGTGACGATGATGGCCACTTCCCAATCCTGCGGTATTTTCTTCTGCTTCCACACTAAGTTTAGCAGATGCACCAAGATTTCTTTTCCTTTCGGCCCCATGTATTTTAACATTTCCCATGAGTTACACCATCACTACCTGCGGATTTCCCTAGCTTCATACTCCAGATTGCTTCTTCCAATTCGTCATCGCCAATACTGGTAAAAAAAATGGTAAATACAGTGTGGTAAAAAAAGAATTGGAGGCCGATACAAGAGAACAGCATGGTGGTCAGATGAGTTTAAAAAAGTAAAAAGAGAAAAGAAAAAACTCTGGAAAGAATACCTCAAGCACAAAACACCGGAGAGCTTCGAAAAGTACAAGCGGAAAAGGATTGAAGCCAAAAATAAAGTTAAAGAGGCCAAGAGGACAACCTGGGCAGATTTTGGACGAAAATTGGAATCGGATTTCTACCAAAATCAAAAGTTATTTTACCGAGTCCTCAAGGGATTATATTACCATGGATTATTAATTCTAATGGGGCAAATTCCAAAAAGTACTACTGATGAATATTGGACAACAGATCCATTATTAGAAACACTAATATTTCCAAAGACAATGAGTCGTGATAGATTCAAAGTAATATAGAGATGGTGGTACTTAATGAACAACGATGAAATGAATGAATCGAGCGACCGTCTATTTAAAATTCGACCAGTTTATGACAATTTGGTTGAAAAATTCAATACAGTATATACACCAAGAGAGATTTCACTGGACGAAAGCATCATAACATGGCGTGGAAGATTGGGATTTAAAGTTTACAATGCCTCGAAAATTATTAAATATGAAATCTTGGTGAGTTATGGCTGAATCAAATAGTGGCTACATTTGTAATATGAAAATGTATGGTGGAGAAGGAAGGAAACAATATTAGATATTCTTGCTCCTTATAAAGACAAATATTATCATGTGTTTATGGATAATTATTTTAACAGTGTAGATATAAACGAAACTCTTTTAAAACACAAAATACGAAGTTGTGAAACAATACGTGTAAACCGAGGACTTCCACATGAATTAAAAAATAAAAAGCTGCAACGTGGACAGTCAATTTTCCGGAAAAAAGAAGAGGTTTTATTACAAATTTGGCAGTCAAAGAGAGAAGTGAGGATGATTTCGAATATTCATTCGTGTTATCAGCATTATCATACTCATAAAAAATACTAGATTCTTCGCATAAACATGTACTTTAAAACATTCTTTTTAATTAGTTGTTAAGTTATTTTTTAATATTTCTTGTAGTTTCAAAACTTTTTTAAGTCTAAATTTTTTTTTTATGATTACACAAAATATCGCCCGCTTTAGAACAAAGAATGAGGGCGACGGTCGCCGCTTAGCAGCAGCTCGGGAATGGCAGACAACCATTCATTCAGAATGACATACAATTTTTGTAATTTACAATCAAACCTTCACCTGCGATGCAGTCCATTTTTTGGGCCCTGGCTCCAGGGCTATAAGGGTTTAACTGTATTAGAGACTGTAATGAGATGTTTTTTTCAGCTTTTTTGAATAAACAGATAGGAAGATAAATGATATTAATAACCACGATCTTATTAGTATTTACAATATCATAATAACATGAATCTGAAATTCTAAAATTGTAATATTAATTCAGGATAAATTTTGAAAACATTATCAATTTTAGCATATCTTTTTATATGAGATAGTGAAAACTAAAAAATAGTTTTAACTTACTGAAGTAGTTCCATCTAATTCGTATTCATCAACATTATTCCCCGCACAATCCCAAGGCTCTAATTCCTTTTCAGTTACCTGGCCATTAAATTTACTGATGGCAGTATCAGTCTGAAAGGTATCTAAAATTAAATGAAAACAAATTAAATATTAATGATTGCAATTTTATTAAAAAACAAGCAAGAATTCATAATAAACAATGTAAAAAAAACTTCTATGTAAATGGTAATATTTAAAAATAATTCAAATTATTTTAGTATTATATAGCTTTTCCAAGTAAATTTCAACCTTTTCTTCCAAATCAAATTCAACCTTTTTCAAGTCAAATTCAACCTTTTCCATTTCAAATTCAACTTTCGAATTTTTGTAAATTTTCAGTTTTTTTTTTAAATAAATGCCACTTGCTATATTATTGAAGGCATAGCTTTAGAAAAATACAAACAAAAAATTGTGATAATGCGTTCCTTATCCATTTATTTTTACTGTTTAGATTTTTTTGGTGTAATATTTTCAAGTTATATTCAGTTTTTTCCAAGTCAAATTCAACCTTTCCCAAGTCAAATTCCACCTTTCCCAAATCAAATTTAACTTTTTCCAAGTAAAATTCAATCTTTTCCATTTCAAATTAAACCTTTTCCAATTCAAATTCAACCTTTTCCATTTCAAATTAAAGTTTCAATTTTTGAAACTTTCTATATGAGAGTCTATTACGAGGCTCCTTTAAGAAGAGTTTTTCGAAATACTATTGATTTTATGTTAAACTTTCGGACATCGATTTATTGTACCTCTTCTGATTTTTTTGATAAAAGGCTCTAGTATCATGTTATTGCATGCCTAGTTTTTGAAAATCCATTTTATGATTACGCCACCGTGTTATGACTTATTTAAGTTTTCCGGATTTATTCAATATAAGGGTGCATTCTTATGTTTCTGGAAACACAGATTTTGAAAATTACCTCCATATTAAGATTATGCCACTGCGTTTCGACTTACTTAATTTCTTCGAATTTATTCGATATAAGGGTCTACGTATATGGTATTGGATAAGTAGTTTTTGAAAATAAGCTCCATTTTAAGATTATTTGTTTTAGTTTATTTAAGTTTTTTGAAATTATTCGGTATAAGGATCTACTAATTTGCTATCGGAGACGTGGTATTTGAAATTTATCTACCCTCTAATATTTAATCTTCATTTCAAGATTATGCCGCTGTATCTCGATTAATTAAACTTGATTTTGGATTTTTTCAATACAAAATTTCATCAATGTTTTAGAGTATGAATAAATAAATATTATAAAGCTAAGGTTAAATTTAAATTAACCACAAAACACAAAGTAAAAACCTGAAAAAGCAATTGGTAATAAATTGAACCTACTATTTTCAGATTTTTCATCTAACTGCTCGAAATTCTTATCTTAAAATTTTGTAAGAGGACACTACAACATAAAACTAAGTTCTACCGCAACTTAAGAAAACTAAAATTAAATTTAAAAATGAGGAAATAGAAATTTCATTTATTTCGGCTGAAAAATAAATTAATCCTTCATATAATTTTTTGGCTTAATCTTAAAATGGAAGTCATTTTCAAAAACTATTTCTCCAATCACATATAAATATACCCGTACAGCAAATAAATTCGAAATTTATAAAAAGAGCGAAACGTAATCATAAAATGGAGGTCATTTTCAAAATCGACGGCTTCGGAAACATAAGAATACAATCTTAAATCGAATAAATCCAAAAAACCTAAATAAGTCGAAACGCAGTGGTATAATATTAAAATGGAGATTATTTTCAAAATCTACGGCTTTGGAAACATAAGAATATACCCTTACATCAAATAAATCCAAAAAAAAAATTAAATAAATCAAAACGCAGAAGTGTAATTTTAAAATGTCGGTAATTTTCAAAATCTACGGCTTCAGAAACATTAGAATACACCCTTATATCAAATAAATTTTTAAAAAACATAAATATGCCAAAACCCAGTGGCGTAAGCTTAAATTAGAGGTCATTTTCAAAATCTACGGCTCCGGAAATATAAAAGTAAACCCTTATGTCGAATAAATTCAAAAACCTAAATAAGTCAAAACGGGGTAGCATTATTTTAAAATGGAGGTCATTTTCAAAATCTACGGCTTCGTAAGCACAACAATACAACCTTAAATCGAATCCAAAAAACCTAAATAAGTCGAAACGCAGTGGTGTAATCTTAAAATAGAGATTATTTTCAAAACTTATCATACGATAACTGTCCTATACATCAAAAAATTAAAAATAAATAAAAACGGTTGAATTTGAAATGGAAAAGGTTGAATTTGACTTGGAAATGCTATATAAAATCTTCAGCACTGATTGGCAAAGAAAGCTGAGCAAAGAGACAAAGTTGTACCTATTTAAATCTGTACACTTGTCTGATCTTATGGCTGGGTCAATAAGTTGGATGGTACTAAAGAAACATGTCACCCAAATAACCACAGCAGAAATAATGATATCTAAGAAAAGTCTTACAGTTCTGAGATTTGTGTGATCTCTAAGGCCCTAGAAAGGAAGCTCCTCGCTTGGGAGAGGGTTCTCCACAGGATATGGTCCAGTGTGTGAACATGGGCAGTGGAGATGTTGCACCAATAAAGAGCTGTGCGAGATCTATGCAAGGTCAAATTTGGTCACTGTTGTGAGGAGTAACCAAATTAGATAGTTAGGCCATGAGGCACGTATGCCCAGAGATTCAATTCTAAACACCTGATGGAGGATTGACCTAGTGGAAGACGTGGCAGAGGAAGACCATGTCTCAGATGGCTGCACAGGATAGAGGAAATCCTGAAAAGGATGGGAAACTGGAAATGGAGAATGCTCACCTGAAATAGAGAAGAGTGGAAAATAATAAGAGAGGCCCAGATTCTTGTAGAACTTCAGTGCCAAAAATAAATGAAGACAGAGAGAAAGGTAGAAGGCAAAACCACACAAGAATGCATAAAAATAACAATATTTGTGTCACATTATGTGGAAGTAAGATCTGTTATTGAAGTACTTAAGGAGTGAGAGCTAAAATGGTTTCAACCGCGGGATGACTTTGAGTCCAAGAAATCCTCCTGGTACATAAGCAGCATTTATAAAGTGGGTACATACCAAGAACCCTTCATTTGGCTTAGGATAAATTTGGAGTTCAAGCACAAAGACAGACCAAATCACCTCCTAATACAATCACTGATAGATTGTAGATTGAAATAAAAATTATTTCTTTACTAGGTACTGAACCCAAGGCTTTCTTTAATAACAATGCGTCACTTATAATGGATGACAATAATGTATTTACTTATTATTTTTAATAAGTTATGGATTTCTCCATTGAGAATGTAGCAAAATTATTGTTAAAGTATCTAACTACATGTGTAATATAAAACCAGCAAAGTAGCTAAAAAACAATTCTACAGTTACCAAAAAAAGGAAAGTTCTTTTCATTTAATTATTTTGGAAATTATTATTTTGTCCTTTAACATGTTAGCTGCGGTTACGGTACCCGGGTTCTGATATTTGTCTCGATTTTGGCTGGGATTGTTTTGACTTTTGCCTCTCTTAGGAAATCTCTAAAATGGTCATTTTAAAAAATATTTGAATGAGAGTTGGATAGATGTACAGATAGATATAAACATAAATAATCGTTATACCTGATAGATGCCAGGGACCATGACCGCAGCTAACATGTTAAGTATAGATATCTATAAAGCCTAAACTATAAATCATAATTTTTTTTTTTCATTTTGGAAAGAAGTACTTACCTCTTGTAGCATAATCAATATCCGCATCGATTATTTCAAGCTTAATAATATCAGGGGCTTTAAATATTATTTTCTCTATTACTGAATCTATATGAATTTGGAGAGGATTAGAAGGATCAACTTTATGAGCTAATTCGACCACCACTTCAAATTGAGCTGAGAATGTTCTAAATATTCCTTCAAATATAACTCCTGTAGATGTATGCACCTAAAATAATAATAAATATAAAATATATTGTAATGCAATCAAAATTTGAATATTTTATTTAGTATTAATTGATGACTCACTTTTAATAATTCAATATAATTTATTAAAGGTGGAAGTCATTATACACTACCTTGATAAAACTAAATTTCAATATTTAATATTTGACATTTTATTGAATAAATATTTTTTACTTAAGTTTCTGAAGGTCAACTATTATGACTGATCATGAGGAACATGAGATTATAGTACCGATACTGGTGCTGCTACTGTTGGCAGGAATTAGCCCAGCAAGTGGGCCTTGTGGCCTTTTTTGCCACCATCCTATAGGTTCCAACCGCATACTCACCAGAGTGTTAAAACATTCATTTCCAGGGACCGCTAAGAAATAAATATTAACTGGTACAGATAGAAACCCACAATGTTCACAACCCGGCACTCTAGGACCCACATCCTAATGTGCTTGACAAGCACGACCTCAAGATGGGATACAGTAGTAACTATATCCATTGATGAAGATCTTTTTCAAAACAAAGTGATATAAGTACTTTAAAGTAGGCAATATTACATGAGATGTAGTAAGGGTATTTTTAACATATATGATTTATTAGAAGTATATTAATATAGGTTAACAATTTATGGAAGAATCTTTTATGCAACCCTTTTATTTAAATAAAAATCAACTAACTATTTAGTGCATTAGCGCAACTAACTAATTAAAAGAATATAAAACAAATCAAAACAGTGAGAAAAAAATTAAAGATGGTATAATTGACAAGCTTTGAGCTTTATTTTCTCCCATAAGTTCTACCTTAAGTTGTTTGCCTACCCAGCACTGGCACAGTGATCTTTTTCATGAGTTCTATAGTTTTATTGTATTTAGTGTAACTTTAGAACTGACAAGTTGGATCTGATTCCATATGGATTATCATATGTCTCATATCTCTTAATTTTAAGGGATTTCTAGAGTTAAAAGAGCAGTCTTGACCAGAGTGTGAGTGATAAGGTAGCCTGTTCAGCATGCTTGTTGTCCATAATTTTTAATTAGCTTCAAAATAATATGGAACACATCAACCAGAATATTTTCAACCTTTCTGCGACAATTTATTAAAAATCAAAAACTCACGGTGAGCATGAGAAACAATCTTATAAATTAAATTACAAGTTTTCAATTGGTAAGTCATGTACTTTACATCGTTAGTTGTTAAGAAAGCCGAGAAAGAATTTGTGATCCAATGCATTTCCATTGATAAGAATACTTGGTATTTGGTACCAGAAGAATTTAAAAATTCAAGTATCCACACTACAATATCAAATAAAAATATAATAAAAAATGCAATGTCTGCTATTAAGAACCAAGAAGGTTTTAGAACAGTTGCTGGAAAAATTGATCAATATATTAAAAAAAATATTTAGATGAAGCTGATAATATTAGTTTTCGAGAGCTGCCATTAGAGGAATTTGTTCTAAGATCGATTTCCCAGAGTTGCTGAAACTGAACAAATAGAATTGAAAGGTAGGATTCGACAATTAGAAAACCAGATATATATGCCTTGAAGTTGAATCTAAGGATACTAAACTATCACATATTAATCTGATAGATTTTGGATTGCCGAAAGAATCTCAAGAACTTCGTAGAGAAAACATAACTGCACTATAAGACATACGTTGAACTTTAAAACTAGAAGACTTTTTCTAGAAAGAAGGAAAATCCCGCAAATCTTAGGTTTAATCACACTTCTAGTCCAAAGCCTTTTATGATTAAGAGCTTCTTTTAAGAGAGATGAATTTCAATCAAAGAATGAAATTCAATGAAAGCCATGTTCAATTTGTGTAGCTCTTGGTTTTACATGTAACAATTTCGTAACGGAGTGCCGAAATTGAAATAAAATCTCAGAAAAACCGAAGTCGAGCATAACTGAAGGGTCTCCAGAGATTTATGACCTGGAAATATTAAAACTTAATCTGGGCAACAAACATTTAAACTAAAAAAACAGGCGAAATTAGATCCTTTGATAAAATTAAATGTAATCATCAATGATATAATGAAAACAAAAGCTATTTATGATAATGAATCTAATGTTACATTAATTAATCAACGAATTGTAGATTTGCTCAAGTTGAAATTAATAGAATAAAAGAGTGTACTGAAAACTATCAGCGGATTAAATTTCACCTCAGCTCGGGCTACAATTTTACTTCGAATTGGGAGTATTGCCAATTTTATAATAACTTAAATCGTCAAGAACGATAACTTTTCTTATGACATCTTATTGAGTATTGATGCTACCAAAAAATTTAAAATGATTCAAAATGAAAATTTGCGAATTTTACAACGAACAGATGCCAATAATGTGATAGATTTACAAGAATAACGATCCAAAAGTGATCGAGAGAATAATTTCCAATGATTTAATTTAGATCAGATATCTAATTATAAATTTAAAGATAACCATACTTTAATTGACACAGATGATGTTGACGATTATATTGAATTAAATTTCAATGAAAATTTAAAAATAGAGGAGTTCAATGCTGATTTAAAACATATCAAAAGTGAAGAGAGAAAACATCAGATTTCAGAGCTTATTGATAAACATAAACACATGGTTGCTAAAGATAAATTTGACATTGGAAAAGTGCCATCAAAAGATGCAGAGATAAAACTGTTCTCTAACGAGTATGTCACCTGTCATCCATATAAATGTTCACTCCCTGACGATAAAGAAATAAGAAGTCAGATTAAAGCATTGTTACACACAAATATCATTGAAGAATCTGATTCTTTATTCGCTTCTCCTATAACCCTCGCGTTCAAGCAAGAAAGATTATAAAAGAAAATCACGCTTATGTATCCATTTCGTAAATTAAATAAATTGGTAGTTCCAGAATGTTTTCCATTTCCCACAATATAACACGTAATCAACAAAGTTGTTAATTGCGAATACATCCCAGTTTTAGATATCAACTCAGCATTTTGGTATATTACGCTAAAAGAAGAAGAGTGAGGAAAAACTTCATTTATAACAAAATATGAAAAGTTTATGTTCAAAGTTCTTCCATTTGATTTGAAAAATGCTCCTGCTATGTTCCAGAGAATTTTGTCTAACATTATTCGAAGAAATGGTTTGGACAAATTCTGCATAAATTATATCGATTATATTTTGATATTCTCTCGAACCTGGGAAGATCATCTTCAACATATCGACAAATTTTTACAGGTAACCAACACTAAAGGATTCAAACTAAAACTAGTAAAGTGTTTATTTGCTACTAAGTCTGTGAAGTAAATAGGACCCACAATGTTAAAGAACAGGATTTCACAAGCCCAAGGAAATTTAATCTCAATTCAAAACCTACAAAGACCAACAGATAGAACTGGTGTTCTAAGTGTTTTGGGTTCAATTAACTTTTATTTGAGATATATTGAAAATAGTTCTCAGAAATTGGAACCATTACATCGTTTATTAAGAAAAGATGTAAAGTTTGAATGGTCTAATGATTACAAAAAAGCTTTCAATATGATCAAAGATGTACTGTATCTACATTGTCAATTTATGATTATAATAAGCCCGTCTTAATTGAGACAGATGACAGTTTTAAAGGTATTGGTGAGCAACACTTAAACAGCCAAAAGAAGATGGAGTACTGCATCCTGTTGCGTATTACTCTATAAAACTATCAGAAAGGGAAAAATGATAAGATATAATTCATAAAGAATGCAAATCGATTAAAGATGCAATCAAGTTTCAGCAGTATTATTTAATAGGATGCCACTTTACGATGTACACTGATCATAAGCCATTGGAAAACTTAAGGACTAAGGACAGATAGATCAGATGAAATCCTTGGAGACCTAATTCTTTATTTATCACAATTCAATTTCATTATCATTTATAAAAAACGCAAAGAAAATATCCTAGCCGACTTACTCTCAAGAAATCCGGTTTTAGAATATTTTGACAGTAAAGATGCTTTCAAGATTGTAAACTCAATCGATTTACCTCAGATTTTAAAAGACCAAGCTGAAAATCTCCCATTCTTTAAATTAAAAATAGCAAAATGGACTGATTATAAACAAGGAATGATACAGCTGTTAAAACTTTAAACTAAAAAGCTTTAATAAAAATTGGGTAACTTTGCTCGCGTCCGTACATTGTACAAGTGCCCTCCGGTTATAACTAAATGAGCAATATTGTCGCCGTGAAGACAGTTCAACATCATAGAATCCACAAAAATATGAATCCATCAAAATTAAGGAAAACAAAAGGCCCAGTCAACACACAGCTTAAGGCTATGTTCAGGAACGCTGGTGGCCTAACTGCTAACAACGATTATTACAAAGGAGGATGCTGATTTATATGGGATCGTAGAAGCCGGCTCATCCACTGAAAATATCCAGTTCTACCAATTACCGGGATATCAAACTTATAAACTGCAGAGATCCAGGCAGGTTGCATCAGGAATAATTGTCCCTCAAGGTAAGCTTTTCAATTAAAAAGAGGATGAAAGAGAATGATAAATTGGAGGCTGTACAGTTAGGTGTATGGAAAAGGATTCAGGGCGGAGTTGTATTGGGCTGCCAGGAGCCGAATGGCCTAATAGCCAATGGCAGAAGCGTTTAATAAAAAATAAAAAAAAAAAAAAAAAAAAAAAAGGAATGATACTAAAACAGTTAAAAGACAAACTGAGAATATTTGTTTCTCCGAAATTAGGAAACAAAATCATTCAGCTTATTCATGAGCATTACGGTCACATTGGTCCAGCACAAATGATCGCCACAATCAGCCCGCATTATTACTTCAAGGGTCTAGATAAAACTGTTCTTAACTTCTGTAAAAGTTGTCAGATTTGTGTTAGGAACAAGGTCCGTCGCAGTCGAGCTATCGGATCGGTCTTCTCTCACAAATCGGCCACCAACGAAATATATGCTCATTTTGGTAGACAATTTCCCTAGACATGCCTGGATCTCGAATAGTTAGGGCCAAGATTGCTCAAGACTTTATAATTTAATTCAGCCAATAGCTAAAAAGCATATTTCAATCATATTAGCCGACCAATATGGTGGCATATATTCAACTTATTTTGAAAACTACTTGGTGAAAAATGGTACAGATTGTATTTACCTGCATTGACCAGTCAGAATCTAATGAGCTTAACGAAAGATTAAACCAAACACTTGTGAATAGTTTAAGATATAAAATAAACAGCGAAGCAAATACAGCCTGGCCGGTTCTCGCAAAGGAGTTGGTCAAGTGAGTATAATGATACAATCCATAGTTCCACACGATTTGCACCATCTTACTGTTCGGAAAGAAACAAGATATTTCCCCTCTTATCTAACAAAATCAGTCTTCCCTTGAAGAAGATGGTAAAATAGCCATTCAGAATTCAATAACCAGCTTTCAAATAAATAAGAAGTGAGTAGGTAGGAATCGACACCATCATAATTTTAACATTGGAGATTTGCTGTATATCGAAAATAGTAACAAAATTAATCCCAACAAACTCGACCCCCCCCCCCCATATGAATTGGACCATTTTCAGTAGTCCGCTAGATTTCATTGACGTTTTATGAAATGACAAGTGGAAAGAGAAAGGAGATATCCAACTTCTTTCATTCCAGTAAACTCCTTCCTTATTCTCAGGGAGGGTTTTTGGTTCTGAGGACTTGGAAAAGAAAAACACAAAGAAGGAAAGTAGGCAATAAAGCCACTTCAACTCGGTGTACCTGGACAAATATACATAGTATTTATTTGACAGCACCCCGGCCAACTCCTTCTCATATATATATATATAGAGAGAGAGAGAGAGAGAGAAACTATAACCAATAAATATAAACTTCATCACTACAGCACAAATCGATTAGTATCATATACGATAATTTAAAAAAAAATATTACTTTAGTTAGCTATGCTATTAGATGTAGATTCAGGATTGTTAAGTTTCAGAATAGAAGGATTTAAAATGTTTCAGGATGGAGCATGCTGAATTTTATGAGGGAAAAATTCCAGAGAATAGTGAAGAATGCAAGAAAGGAACATTAAACATATCTGTTCTATGTGGTTTAGTATAGTTGGAAAGAAGAGATCTTGAGTGCTGGAAATGGATTGAAAACTTCAGGGTCCCAAGAACAAAGCTTACAAAGCAATTCATAACTTGCCTGTCTGTTGAGAGTCTCACTAATATGGCCAAGTAAACCACAACGCCTTGGAAGAAAAATAAGGATATCAGCTGTCCAATAGTATAGGAGAATACTAATACTCTTACAAGAACAGGATGTGGCAGGGACAATAAAATTGTTCCAGGGTACAAATTAACCATCTAGAGATTCATGTAATATGGAGATTCAATGTATAAGTCAGCACAACAGCAATGTTAGGATATTTGGTCATTTAGGGTTATGATAGGAAAGTTGACATATGAAGGATCAAGTTTGCCCAGGTACTTAAACAGATCTAAATCTTCCTTGATCTCAGCAAATGTATCTAAAAACTGAGAAATAAAAAGTGATGCACAAAGTGAGTAAATTAAGTAATGAGACTGATTTTCTATTATAAGATCTGGCAAAATTAAGGACGCAGCACGTGGAGGGGTAGGCAGGTAAATATCTGATATGCGTCAAGTACAAGTTTAAATGCTAGAGTTGTTGCACTGTCTGTAATGAATATTTTTGTGAGACAGGTTTTTTAGGGCTATGTTTTAAAAATGAGTGACATCGAGTTTGAACAACGTTGTGGTAGTACGTTATGTTTCAGACCAGGACACAGTGCAATGAAAACATTTGAAAACTGTGTCAGGCCTACGCAAATAGTGTTTTGTCGATAGCACACGTTTTTAGATGGTTTAAGGCATTTTTAGAAGGAAGAGAATCAAATGAAGACAAGCCTCGCAGCGGAAGGCCTTCATCTTTAAGAACCAATGAAAATGGCAGATTCCGCAATCTTGTGCATTCAGATCGTCGCTTGACAATCCGAAGGATCAGTGAAGAGTTGAATTTGACTCATGCAATCGTTCATCAAATATTGACCAATGACTTGGGGATGAGAAAAATTGGTCCAAAAAATGGTTTCAAATAATCTTTCACAAGAGCAAAGAGACATCAGAGGGAGCAATTGAAAACGATCCTCATTTACTGAAACGTGTTATAACTGATGACGAATCATGGGTGTCTGAATATGACCCGGAAACCAAGCTCCAGAGCTTTGAGTGGCACACTTCAACCTCTCGAAGGCCAAAAAAAAAAAGGAAGAATGAGCAAGGAAAAAATTAAATGCATGATTATTTTCTTTTTGAAAGAGTTTTTGCCTCAAGGCCTAATGGTTAATCAACATTTTTACCACGTTCTTGAGAGACTTCGAAAAAGGGGCATGAGTATGAAACCAACCACCAAAGGGGTGCATCCTTGTCACGCCACAATTTGGCCAGTAAAAACATCCCGGTGGCTCTTCAGCTTCCTTATTCACACGACTTGAGTCCATGTGACTTTTTTCTCATTTCAAGATTGAAAAATTAACCCAAGGGATAACATTTTGAAAGATAGGAGAATATTCAAACAGCTGTAACTGACCAACTGAAGGCTATTTCAGATCAGAGTTCCAGCACTGCTATGAGGAATTGAAGAATCATCTCCAGCATTATGTGGCTTCACAAGGCAGTGAAGGAGACAGTGTGAATTTATAGTTTTATTTCAATAAAAAAATCAGTCTCATTATTTAATTTACACACCTCGTATTAATTTGGAAATTACTAGAATAAGGAGAAAGGGACAATAATACATTGATATAAGGGTAATATATATGTACATAAATATATATACAATTGGGTGAATCTGAAATGATTAATACTTAACAATGAACTAAAAGAAATATTACACTGTACCAACATAAATTTATTAATATCTTGACTTAACATACAAAAATATTACTGGTATTAAAAATGTACTAATGTATATAATGTGATTTATGTAAAACATATATGGCTCGAGAGAGGGAGGGAGTTAAAAAAATATGTACAAATAAAATTTTAAAAACTTACTAATTATAATATAACAACTTTCATTACCTTTATAATACTACCAACTAATGATGTAACTGAATTCATAAAGTATGAATTATTATAGACTCCATCCAGAGCAACATTTCTTTCAGTTCCACGAGCTCTTGGAGACCTAGAAGTAACGACAAAGAAAATTAAAATACTGAAAAACTATCACTAAACCAATAATATTATACTTAAAAATATACTAATATAGTACTTAAGTGGTGATTATACAATTTGAACTGACAATTTTTTTTATACAATCATAACATAATTTCCTTTTTTTATCTTAACTATTTTTATTCCAAAATTAATCAAACAGCATCTTGCAATGGTAACCTTGGATATAGTCCATTCATTTGGTAGATTGGGACAGGAAAAAATTGCTGAAGAATTTTTCTCGACAGATCTATATGGTTTTTGGGATGCTGAAAAATTCAATTACCGACTTAATTTGGATATGGCTTCACCATAAAAATGGCGAAAACTATACAATTTCAGAAGTTGTTTCAGTTTTTCATGTATAACTTCGAAACAATGCATCCTAGAGAAACATCAATTGTATCAAACAGGAAGCTGATAAAATTTCAGAAAGCTAGGAACTCCACCTGCACAATTACGATCAGGTAAACCAATTTTTTTCATTTCAAACTCATTGTTTCCTGTGTGGGAATGAAATTCCGAAGAACTATGCCGCAAAACAAAAAAAGTTGACTCCTTCTGCACATGACCATGTCTATATGGTGAGAATGATGCATGTGAGAGGTAATGTCACGCAACATGCCAGTGATGATTATTTCCGAGCTGTTGAACACCGTTTAGAACCTTTTGCAGCTGATGGTCAATACCATCTGTCTTGTATGAAAAATGTCTTGATGCGTACACCCACTTACAAATAAATCCAAAATACCTGTCAGGCGGACTTCATCCTCTATCCATGCCTGATTGGAACTCATTACTCAATATAGAATTATCTCGAGATCAATTGCGAGGAATGCCAGTTCACAGGCAAGGAATTAAAAGGTAGGGATAGTGAAGATAACTTTATAACACCAAAAAAATTGAACAATGTATGTTAAAATACTGAGTGCAAAATACTTATGGGATCCTGGTGCAAAGATCAACAAAAGCGTCGTCAGTAGCCGAAGAACGACTTTGTAAATTAGGGCAGCAGCGGTGATAATCGTTGAAAATATACGCTCACAAGTGTATGTTTGTATATATATATATATATATATATATATATATATATATATATATATTGCAATGAGGGGGCCAGGGTAGCCGTACGGGCTAAGGCGCTTGCAATAGGTAATCAAAGTTAAGCAACGTCGAGCGTGGTCAGTACTTGGTAGGTGACCGCCCGCCACAGAAAGACACGCTGCCCGAGATTCCTCCTCCTTTCCCCTCGGGTATGTGAGACCCGTCAGCCTATTGGAGGCAACTCACGCCACAGGGAGGTGAGTGACCCTGTGTTAGACATAGCTCCTGGTCCTCCAGGTTGGGGGTTGGGCATAGGGCTAATAACCCTATCCCGTCAAAAACACCATATTAAGAAACCTAAGCAGTAGTAAAAAGGGTTTAATAAATCAATGTTGAACAATTGAAAGGCAAGCTAATCTAGTTCTACTAGTGCAGGGAAAAGAAAATGGCTTCTCTGTAGTTTCCCAAGAAGGAAAATCCCAAAGAGGAGAGGGACAAAGGTTTTTGTTTTGTCAAGCAGTTGGTGTGTGACTGCAGTGAAGAGAGGATAGGAGAAGCGATCCTGGCTCCAGAGGGTAAAACCCGGCAATAGTATTACCATTTTGCAAATGTGCTTGGCTGAACTTTGGAAAGTTTTTGAAAACAAATGAATTCAGTGCCACAAAGGAAGAAACATTGTACATAGAAAAAAAGGTTAGCTTGCCAATCCATACTTGACTTTATTTTAAAATCAATGTTTAATTTTAGTATGAATAGTGTAAATAATAATAGTTTGTCTAAGTTGATCTGATTGTCAGTAACCCGCACCTGAGAGAAATAAAGATATTAATTCTCTTATAATTTGGTTTATTATTAAACAACCTCTTATTTATTTAGAAAGTATCCCAATGGTAAGAAGTGAGCTTCCGACGTTATATTATTATTATTTGTCAAATATAAGAGAGATGTTACAATATATATATATATATATATATATATATATATATAGAGAGAGAGAGAGAGAGAGAGAGAGCGAGATATTGCAAGTGTGTGTGTATATTCGAAATTTTGTGTGTAAAGGCTTCAAAAGTCTGAAATACGAAGATTTTGATAACTTGAAAACTTTGATCAGTCTTAAGTGAGCTCTAGTGGTCAAACTAAAAAAAGATATCAAGCTGGTTCTAGTTTATTTTTTTAGAAATTTGATCAATTTCTTTTTGATGCCAGGGATTTTTATCTAGGATGCATTGCTTCGAAGTTATATGCAAAAAACTGAAACTTCTGAAATTTTATGTATTTTTGCCATTTTTATGGTGAAGTCATGTCCAATCTAGCTGATAACAGGATTTTCAGATTTGCCACCCCAAAAAACACATAGGTCCATTGAAAAAAATTCTTTAGCAATTTTTTCCAAAATTAACTACTCTCTGTACATCAGCCCAGATGACTGGACTGATTGTCATTGAAACATCTGGGAAATTTTCAAAGAAATAATTTTTTTTATTTTTCAATACATAAATATATAAGAATCATAAATTTTTAGAAAAGATATTACAATAGTAACAAACCTTTACACTATCTACTTGTCTCAATTTTAATATCTTCACTTACTCTTATGTTTTGGATAATAAGCCAGCATCAAGGAAAATCTATTTAGGTTCCATATTTTTGAACCTACTATGAAATTCATAATGCTTCTTGATGATTACCATGTATAAAATTTAGAGTTTTTAATAAAATTTTATAATCAAATTAAACTGACTTTTTAGATCATGAGAATGTCAACTTGTTAACCTTCAATGATGAACAAATGTATGTGTCAGATACATAGCTGACATGTTTATCTATTTTTCTTAAAGCATAAACTTTGGTGTTCTCAAGTCTCACAAACTGTTGGAATCCGGCCTGGGGTGGGGGGGGAGGTTGAAATTTATTACGTGGCAGACCCATGGAATGAATCTATACCTTCCCAATCTAGTTAGACTTAGTGATATGGGGTGATATATACGGAGCTATAATTATGCCACAGGAATTGGGCCAGAGCTGGTGATAGCTGTGACAGGCACTCTGAAATCATAGTTGCAAAATTGCGCTCCAACAGTGACAGGATGAAGATGCTCCGGCATCACAGCTCTGAGAATAGCCACTCCATTACTACTTCAACTCCTAGGACTCACATTGTTGTTGAAAATTTATTAATTCATGAAATAATAATTTCCAAAATAATGGTTATTCCAAAAAATTGTTTAAATATATGTGTATATATATATATATATATATATATATATATATATATATATATATATATATTTATTTGTTAAATATATAGGACAACTATTTTTCTTTACTATCCCTGGAAGTAACTAAGAGGACATTGATAAACTCACTGACACTCTGAGTAGCAGAGGAAGCCTGGCCAACAAGTAAATGAAGATAAAACAAAATATATGATAATAAGCAGAAAATTCCACCCCAAATTTCCACCAATTCCACTGTTAGGGAACTGCGTAAAAGGGAAATCATTCCCGAAAGTAGGAAAATTCAAATACCGCGGATCCACAATAACCTCAGTGAATGACCAATGGCCAGAAATTGACCAATGTATAACAAGCGAAAACACTGCTTTCTTCTTCCCTTTTAAAGGTATTGAAATCCTGAAAAATCTCAAGAAATCTCAGATTAAGGGTGTAAAATGCTATGATAAAGGCAGTTTTAATATATGGATGAGACATGGACACTAAACCGTGCCTTAGAAAAAAAAAGTATTGAAAGAGGGAAATCTTCCGATAACTGGAGCGATCTGGGATCAGAGTACTACCACATGCAGAAGAAAGAAAGAACAACAAACAGCAGCTTATAGAAACTGGTCAATAAATATCTCATGATATAAAGGCACGGAGATTTTAAGATGGGCGGGTTATATAGCTTGGAGGAATCCATCTGGAAGCCTCTACATAACAATGAATGCCACAATAGAAGGCAAAATAGCACGTGGAAGGCCAAAAAGCAGATGGATAGATATGATCAACAAAGTTCTCCTTATGCTGTAATGTGCAATAAGGTTAGGTTTGAGAAAATTCATACCATAGGTGATTAAAAAAAAAAATCAGAATCCTAAAAGTTGTTCTTCTAATAACTCAAGATATCGTAAAATTCTCCAAATGACTATATGCCTCCTGAGAATCAAAGAGTACTTATTTGAAAGCTTATCAATAAGCTGAAATTCTCTACAAAATTAAAGGAATTAGGGTATTTTAATTTGAATCGATATTTTATTCATATATTTCCTTCGAACACTGTCAAGTTTCTATATGTATTATAGTTATCCTTACCATGAACTCATCCTTCCAAGGCTTAAAAATAAATCCGCCCCGGGCTCCCATTAGTCTGTAGGTAAGGAGTTCCTAAACTGGGCAGTGTGAACCAGATGTGCCATGGCATTAATATTTAAGGAAAACATTGTCAATATAGAATAGACATTCTAAAAATTTATATCAATCGATAATACCTGGGCAAAATATTAATTAGCTTGTATGTATTTATCTATATCTATGTATCTATCTATATAAATATATATATATATATATATATATATATATATATATATATATATATATATATAAGTATATATATACTGCACCGAAAATGGACAGATTCTATAGAATCACCGTTTTAAGAATAACTGCATTTTTTTTGGCCCAACAAGAATTTTCTTCAAGTTCAAGAACCCGTCATGAAGAAGGAGAAACTTTAAAAAAAAAACATTGTTTATTTATGATAAATGAGTTCAATGATTTGTTTTACCAAACATCATGGGAATTGTTTAAATGAAGAAGAATATTAGAAACCACTCATAGGCATATTATTTCTGTAATTGTAAACAAACATTATAGCAAATATTGAAAATAAAAGGTTATGCTGGTTTGGGCTGGGCATGTTAAAAGAATA